GGGGAGGGAAGTAGTATAGGCTGAGTATTCCTTATGTGAAATGCTTAGAACCAAAGGTGTTTTAGATCTTGGATTTTGTAATATTTGCATTTATACTTACTGGCTGAGCACCCCTAATCTAAAAATCTGTAATCCAAAATATTCCAATGTGCATTTCCTTTGAGTATCATGTTGGCATTCAAAGAGTTTCAAACTTTGAAGCATATTGGATTTCAGATTTTTGGATTAGATACTCAACCTGTAATATTGCTTTTCCCACCCTACAGTGGCTTGAAGGTCTGGTAACTGAACAGATTATTAACTCCTTTACTTGCATTCTCCCAAACTATCTCATTCCCTACTCTATACATATATTAAAATGTTTCATAAGATAATACTTACCCTACGAGACACAATGATATTCTCTGTTGCATTTTGTAATGGCAGTAAATGACTTTATAACCCATTGTGGTGGTGTGAGTACAATTTGAAGCAAAAATAAACAACACATGAAACTGTGACTAGCTCTGTTGTGTTTCAGTAATCATTCTTCTGTCTGCTTTCTGTCCCCCAGAAAACTGTAGAAATCTTTCATTCACTGATAACTTTTCTCTATTTTATTTTCACTGTGTGTCTCTTTTACTATGATTTTAGTTACAGTAAAGGCTCCTATGGGGGCAAAAAGGATAAATACGAATGACCAATTTTTAATCTTTAATTTGAAGCTCACTACAACCATTTTTAAAAACCAGGAGTTTCCTAATCTCTTTCTGCCCTGATTTAAAGTCCTTCCGCTAACTATGATGGCCTAAACTGCTGTGTTCTGGGACTTAAACATTAGAACTTGCCAAGGCAATCTGAACAATTAAAAAGGAAAGGAAAGTGCTTATGGTGGCCAGAAGAATCTGCATATCACAATTCCACTTAACTCTTAAACGAAAAATAAAACTGGTTAAATATTCAAAACCAAACACTAAATTTACTAAGTACTTAAGTGAAAAAGTGAAAATTTATTTTTGAGGAAAGACTTTAAGAAAGGTTTCTTTCTGAGAAGAAACAGTAAAAAAAACAATTCTCAAACACATCAAGAAAAATAATATGTTATAAAATGTAAAGCGTACTTACACAGCAAGGCTACTCAAAACATATTGTACGTGCTCACATTCATCTGGGAATGATGCACTGGCTGATGTGAAACAACAAAGTGCAGTCTGAAGAACCTGAAGCTGTGGCAAAGGGACCTGCCATCTTCCAGCATAATCTTCCACCACCTGATAGGGAAGCAATCCAAGCATTACTATCAAAAATGTTCTCAGCATCCTGAGTTCAAAAATTTGCATAAAACTTACTGGATAAATTAAAACACTGGTACAGCATAAACACAGGAGACTGGGGGAGAGTTCTGTTTATTTTCATAGTATACATCTGAAAAGGAAATCAATTGTTATCTTTGAAAATGTGGAAAAGAAATATAGTATATGACTGACTGTACTTTTCAACTGCCAAATCTTTACCAAACTTAGTTAACAAAAATTGCCCTTTACCTCCCATATCCAGCTTTTGTCAAAATATCAATTATTTAATATTTTAAATATTAAAATACCTAGAGTAGAACATAGAAATGACCAAGCCATCAGTATTATCATTATTATTCATAAGGCATTGTCAGAATGGTAAGATATGATGTTCTGATTATGATACAGTAAGATGATATGATGCATCATGATGATGCATGATGCTCTAATTATGAATATTTAATTATACAAATACAGTCAGTCTTGACTCTGTCACTTAACTAGTTTTATGAATTTAGATAGGTCATCTTCCTTCTCTGTGCTTTAGCTTCTTTACCATAAAATAGAGATAATAATGCTTATCTTGCAGGTTTACTCTGAAGTTAAATTGAGGTAATTTATGAGAAAACACTTTAGAATCATAAATTGCTATAAAAATGTTAATTATGATCTCTTATATGCTAGAATGCTGTATTAAAACAATGTATTAAATTAACAAAATCATCATATAAAACTATCACCTGCACGCCAAATTTAGCCTGCCATCTGTTTTCGTACAACCATGAGGTAAGAAAGGCTTTTCCAATTTTAAGTGGTTGAAAAAAATATCACTTTGTGATATGCAAAAGTTATATGAAATTCAAATTTCAATGTTAATAAATAATATCTTATTGGAACATAACCAGATTCCTCCATTTATGTGTTGTCTATGGCTGCTTTCCTGCTGCTATAACCAAGTTCAGTAGTTGTAACAGAAACCATATGGTTCACAAAGCCTAATCCACACCGTTACAGAAAAAGTTTGCTAACTTGTGATATAAAAGCTGAGAAAACTAGAATACAAAAGCCAATAATGCTCAGAGTCCAAAGGACTATCACCCTAATCACATCCTATCGGGAGACAATTTTCCATGGGTTTCTCACATTTCTACAATTTTTTCAAAAAGCCCTGACTTCATTTTTCAAAGACATTTTTAGGAAGCAATATCGAACAATAGAAAGGATCTCTCCAACCACAGCAGTGAACCTGTTTACTACCTAGCATACTAAAGATATTGTCTCCCTCTAGGGCAAAGGTCAGGCAGATGTGATTGCAGACCATTATAAAAGATTGGGGGGTTCCTTAAACATGGGGTCCCTTAGCTATGATGAAGGGTAGCATCCACCCAGGCCACTCATGTCAACCGTATGAGACTTAAGGGAAAAGGGAAACTATCAGGAACATGAAGCTCATGTTGCTCGCTGTGCCATGATTAAATACTTCACACATCTCTCCAATGTTTCTGGGAAAACACAGATGAAAAAGAAAGCTACAAGAGATTATCTCTGTACACATGTACCACCCCTCCTTCTAGATCCTACAGGTCTCCCTAGTTGGAAAGTTAAAACTACAACATGTATGCTGGTCCCAAGATTTTTCTAAATCACCCAGGCCAAAAAAGAAAAAATGCTAAATATTGGTTTCCTGGCTCTAAATTTTCCCTTCACTAGAGTCTTTGATCAGCGTTAGTGCCTTTTTCTGGTCACCATATTATCACTCTGGTGCCACATAAAAAAGAGGTGCCACATAAAAAAGAGCTTTCCTTTTTTGTCATATAATAATACTTTTTCTACTTTGTTACCCAACTGCACTGCAAAATCTGCCCTTGCCTGTGGGTATATATTTTTTTTTAAGAGTCAGGTGGAAAAATGAGGCAGGTAGAATGGCAGCACAATGGAAAGAGACTACTTTGGCATCAGACAGACCTAGGTTTAAATTCCAGCTCTGTCACTTTTTAGCTGTGTAGCCTTAACAAAGTTATTAAACTTCTCTAAGTTACCTGTAAAATAAATGTAAGACCACTTTAATCACAGACCTACTGAAAAACTAAATAGGACAAGTATTAAAAGCCAGAGTAATTCCTGGCATATCAACAGCAAGAGCTGTTATTACTAGTGTACTTTGCTTTAAGGAAATAAAATGACAAAATTATGCTTGCTCTGGTGACTATTTCAGTGCATCAGTATGGACTGGTTTATTATTTGTTTCCAAACATCATTAATTACAACAAATTTTATTCACTTTTAGCAAGCCAACAGGTCACTCCCAAATAAAATCTTTTAAAAATGACTGCTGAGTTTCAACTACAGTATTTAGTCCAATTCTCATCTGACAAATGAAGTATATACGGCAATGTAAATAAAATGTTCCATGCCTGAACAGATACCCGAAGATTCACTGTTTTTACAATTCTCCCTAGAGAATAAAGCTTTTTTTCAAAACTGCTAAAAAAAAGAATCACATCAGTTTTACCTTTTCTTTCAGGACAATCTTGTGGAGGAATTTTAAAATTAAAATCATATTGTAAAAAAACAACAAAATGGCTTGGAAATAGATACTAATAAGTTAAAAGTTGCTTAGAATCTACAAAAAATATCATCGATAGAAGCAAGCAATCTAAACCCAATTCTTTTTGAGACCTAAAAAAGCACACAGTTTGTTCAACTCACTTCTCCTTAAATTGACATTTCTACAATGTTAAGGTCCTTAATAGGTTCTGAAATGTAATGAGACTAAACCTTTCCAAACTGGAAAACAGAGTAAGCATCTCTAAATATTAATATTATTATACAATCTTACTGTCAAAAAGAATCAAGAATATTAGCCAGTTCAAACTACCAACCAGGGCACAAATATTCATTACAAAAAACACTCCCAGAGAGTTAACCACCACAAATATTGCTACTGATGGGTAGTTTACCACTGCAAATGACAATTTATTTAATTTTACAGGTACATTCACTAGAAAATTATGAAGCAAAAATTGTAGCATCCACCTACCAGTTCTAATTTGAAGTTTAAAATTATATGAACAAAACAAACAACAGACCGTCATATATTATAAGGCAACTATCTGATACATCTTTATTACAGTCTCTTCCCTAGATTAAATAACTGCTGTCCTTTCAGCTGCTTCTATTATTTCTCAATAGTTTACATACACAATTTTCACCATTCTTATTAGCATATTCTGTTCACACTACAAATTGTCCATGTTCCTCTTAAACATAGTTTCCAGAATGGAACATAAGACTACAGGCAACTCCAGTAAGAATCAGTGGAACTTCCACCTCCCTATTTTTGACTCTGATTATATTAATGCAGTTTGCCATTACTTATTAATTCCGAGTCAGCCAAAATGCTCTTTTGCATACATCTTTTATAATTGAGTTTTTAACGCCATAACTGTACATTATTCCTTCTCACTTTTCTCACTCTTAGTTTCAGTTCAAACCTTCAATACTGCTTTTATAGCTGATATGTTAGCATTTCCTTCCAGTGTGTATCACCTATGCATCTGAAAAGGTTTTTTATTTTATCATCAAAGTTGTATACTAAAAAAGTTTACGCACATTCATAATAGGGCCAAGTTCAGTTTCTTCAGCTATACTTAGGACCATTAATATCTTATGGCTAGAGTGTTCTGTCAGTTGCTAATACAAATTCACCCTCATTTCTCCATCTGTCTATAATACCATGAGAAATTTTGTAAAAAAACCACACTGAAATCTCTGTATGTTGGGTCTGTTACATCTCCCATATCTACTGCCAGATATATAATACATTTTTAAGAGTAGAAATAAAAACATAGAATTATCCGATTTAATGAACCTACAGTGATGGCTAGAGATAGACACCTCTTTCTAATTACGAACAACCATTTATTTAAAAACTATTCATTAGTTTTGTTAAAATAGTAGTTATACTACTTTTACTAGTCATGTTTCTATAACCGATCTCTGAAAAATAGAATATGGACCAGGCACAGCCTGTAATCCCAGCACTTTGGGAGGCCAAGGCAAGTGAACTGCCTGAGTCCACGGGTTCGAGACCAGTTCGAGCAACTTGGCGAGACCTCGTCCCTACAGTAAATCAAAAAGTAACTGGGTATGGTAGCATGTGCCTGTAGTTTCGGCTACTTGGAAGGCTGAGGCGGAAGGATCGCCAGAGCCCAGCAGTCGACATTGGCGTGGCCAAGAGCATGCCAACTCAAAAAAATAAAAGAAAGAAAAATAGACTACGTAATCATATCTAGACTAACAACATCTCTTCAGTTCTGTTTCTTCAAACAGAGGTTCTGTTACTGAGGTTCTATGCAGTGTTCCCTGCCCCCACAGTATACTGGCATGTCACTTACCTGAGAGATTTAAACTTATTTAAAACCCCTTACCAGCTTTTCCTTACTATTTTGGTCTTTAATCTTTTAACCACACTTAGTTCCTAATCTGAAAATCATTCATCTTATTTAAAAAAATTTTAAAAATAAAGTAGTTGCATTTTTTACAGGCACATGCTACCCAAAGCAGAGGTCTATCCCCTTCATTCGTATCAGTTGATTTAATAGAAGATAATGAACCTGCACAAGAATGAATGAAATTAAAGTTATATTATAGGAACTCATTCCAAGAAGAAAGGACGTCTATCAAAATCCTACTCAGCTATTCTAACACAGAAATCAACCAGATACACACAAAAGTTTGAAGTATAAAGGGTATCATACTTGCTAATACAGGGATTTCAGAATTAACACATTAAACATGTTTTATATTAAATACAAATAAGCTTCACAAAGCAATTCAGCCTATGAAGTAGCTTTAGTCTTATAATTTTTCAATATTCACATAAAATCCAACAAATGTGGTGAGTCACAGAAAAATACAGTGAAGTTATAACATAAGACTGTACAGAATTATTTCTACACTAAAAACCAACTTTGGTTTTGAGAGAT